ATTGATTTATAAGTTATTGTCTATAATATACTATATTTAACTCATTAATTTAATAATCTTTTTTTTTCATTTGTTTTTTACAATATTGACATATTATAGAACAAATAGTATTATTTTAAGTTGTGAGTAATAAATTGCCCATTGCCATAAGAAGAAAAAACTTCCATCCAAGATCTAGAAGTTGATGAATACGGATTGTAGGTAAAGTTCATCGTGTTTTATTCAAATATCCTATTTATGTAAGAGGTAATCGTGGAAGAGGSCAAATTTATCTCGATGGTAGTAAAAGTAATAATACTATTTACAGTTCKTCTGCTGAAGGACAAGTAGTAAAGAAAAAAACAATACTTATTTTCTTCTATGACAATGGGATTGTAGTTCAATGAGATTAGAGCACCGCCCTATCAAGGCGGAGGTTGCGGGTTCGATACCCATCAGTCTCGACACCTGGATTGTTCTCACACAAAGCGTGCAATACTTCAGGTAGACCGAACATTCAAGAGTGCGACTTGGTCATAACCGCGGCCTCGCGGCCGAGACCGCAGCCTGCGGTCGTGCCCGCGACGACTGCGACCGCGAGGGATTCATAGCCTTCCACGTCACGGATCGAAAGAGCATGAGACACTGACGGTTCCGAGATCACTGGGAGTGAAAAATTGCATGTCTTGTCACACCGCCCCAACCCTCCAAAGTTCCCCTTTCGGAAGGGAAATGAACGTGTATGTGAGTGGGATATAGAACGGGCCCTAAGCGCGATCCCTATTCCCTCCCTGTTCCCCAGCTCACACGTAAGCGACGTCATTGCCAAAACCGGTATCGTCATCATTGAGACAGACTTCGAACCCTACCACCTCGTGTTGCCTTTTCACTCCCTGACGATGGCCCCATGGCACATGTTGCCTTTTCACTCCCTGACTTACCTTCCCACGTCTTTGATTTCTCAGTACTCCATCCACTCCAGTTTTGCCACTTCAGCACGTCGACGTTGCGGCTCTTCCTCGACGGCATTCCAGACTTCTCATCGTGGACGTCATCGGTAGCTTCACAGACATCGTCACGATCAGCTTTGCCTACTTCAGACGTCATCACTCTCTTACCACGTTACCCTGTACAGTACCCTGGTTGTGTCGCATGATGGTCTCCCTTCACCGGGTTCTTCTGAGTTGGGCTCTCCCTTGGTATACGCATAGGCATCGAGACCGTAGCGTTGCTCTGGCTTCCCAGTTTACGGATCTAGCTCCGATTTCCCTCACTTTAGAAGTCATTTGCATGATTTCCTTACCCATCACCCTTCTACCCTTTGCCGGCCCTCACGCCCTAGTTAGGTAGCCCCACATGCTTCATCTAGGTGCGCCCAGTATACCAGGCTCCCTTGTTCTCTTGCATGATTGACCGTCCATAGCGGTCACCCCTTAGTCGAGCATTACCTGCCCTGATGGTCAATCTACTAGGGTCATTGGTTCTGTTTGCTCCGAGTTCCCTACCCTCATTGAGCCTGATTACATGTGTCTCCCGGTCACTATGTGTGGATGCTCTTAGGAGTTATCGACCCCCAGGCTACATTCGCCACCCTCAGAGACCATCCCACCCTTTGGTTTGCGACACACTTCTCATGTGACATATGGTTGTCCTGTTGTTGCTTTGTTGCTCTCAGACTGAGGCTACTGCCTCTGACATTTCAAGGATGTAGTTGTTCTGCTTTTGCTGTTCTTAGGATTTCTACACTAGTCAGCTGTTTCCTGACTGAGGCTACTGCCACTAACATTCTAAGACCTACCTGTCATTTATTTCTGCTTTCCTTGGACATGTATGCTAGTTACTTGCTTTTGCTTTCACTTAGGTTGTTAGTTGTGACATTGCTGTTTTTGTGACATTTCCTATTCTAGGTTGCGTCGGATGGACTCAACATGSAGCTTGCTCCGCATCCTAGACTAYTCAGGTTTTCTTTTTTCTTTGGTAGASTTCCGCTTCTTCGCGGAAGCGTGCTTGTATCTAGACGATCCATCACAGGCCGAGGATCGTGTAGCGGACCTCTGGTTGGCCTGTCAGACCAGCCCCTTGGTCTGTTCTCACAGGCCTGTGTTGTATTCGGGGCAGTCCAGTCCAGGCCGGTACCTCTGTCGGTACCAGCCAGTCCAGTCCAGTCCGGTCAGTTCGCTGGGGTATACCCCAGCTGTTGTCTGTTTTCGGTCTCATTCTGCATTCGCACAGTTTGGAGTACGTGCATTGGAGTCTGGCGTGGGAGCTGTGCTGTGCCATCTCGCTCCCCTTCTTCCTCAATCTCCATCTCTATCCCTGGCGGAGCACCACACCTGGTGGATCCGCCACACACTCGCCCCCTACTGGCCTCGAACCCCGTGCTCCGAGTGCCAGCAGGACAGCGAGTACCGAGCCCGGGGGTTCGTTAGACAAACCCAGACGGAGGCCGAACAGCGAGCACACAACCTGCGCCTAAGGCCCGCAGAGGCTTATCACGAGTGACGCTGGCGATTGGTTAGGCAACGTGACACACATAGCATTCCACTGGTTCGCCGAATCTGAGTCCGGCCTCGGCAAAGAAACTCTTGGGGATTGCGATGACATCCCCCAAGGCAAAAAAGTCGGACGCGGTTTGCGCTTACTATCATGCATAATTGCCTCTAAGGCTTGCCACAGGAGTTTTGAGTTCTGACTTGGAACTCCATCCCCACTATCCTAAAATCCTTGGCACACCCCTTTTTCACACTTCCGGGCCCCCATCCCAGTCCGATCTGATTCAGGAAGTCCCACTGGGCGTGAGGTTGGGCATCACAACCCTACGTTGTCCAGGTGGACATAGAGGGCCCACAGGAATTTCAGGCTGTCTGATATGGCGGTGGGCACTTCATTCCGGCCTGCTGTCTCTTCCTGCCTGATTGTGAAGCTGCCGCTGCATTTGTTCCAGATTCATTTTTTGAAAGTCTTCTATAGGTTTACGGGTGGGCCTTCTCTACCAATTGCGGGCTGTGCAGGCATATAAGGTGTTGTGCACCATGTTTATTTATAGGTTCAAACCGAAGTTATATATATATATGTGCCAGCAGTACGAGATAGTCACCTACCATACGGCCCTCTACTCTGTGAGTGGAGTGGGTGAGAGGGCGGAGGTAAGGGGAAGGAATAAATAATTAGTGAATTGAATTCGCATACTTACTGACAATCCATCCCCCCGCCTTCAGCTCCCCAGTGGAAAGCAAAATCATTTCCCTTTGGGTTGTCCGCTCTTCCTTCCCTCAGAATCCCCTGCACTTGTTTTTTTGTCACATTCGTTGAGGCTGCTCGCTCATGCTGATTGTTTTTTCATATCGATTTCTTTCTGTTTTTATTTCTGTCTCTTGTTTCATCAATGTTTTCCCCATCTCGGTCGCTGTCGACTTCCTACGAGCTCTTCTCTTTCGTTTTTCCTGTGGAATCGGATGTGGGATATCCCTTTACCCGAGTGGGGTGAGCTTTCACTTACCTGCTTCTTTCATTTCAGAGTGGGAAGATCTACCTGGATCCTATGGGTGCAAGAGCTTTTCCTTCCTAAGATTGCCCCCCGAGGCGGCCACGGCCGCGGCCGCGACCCCACAGCCATGAAAAAAACAAAAAACAAAAAATAAAAAAATTCTGCAAAAAACATATGTTATGCAGAAAAATATTCTGAACAACTTTTGCCTTGTGGTCATATCCAAAAACTTTACTGAATTTAAAATAAAAAAACACATAAGTTTCATAGTTTTTCTGAAAAAGGAAAAAAAAACAGCTTTTGCCTTAGGAAAATCAGTTTTGGAATTTTAAAAATTCAAAGACGAAGTCAAAAAATAAAATAGAAAATTGTGCAATTTAGATCTCGAAAAGATTTACAACATCATATTTTTTGTTTTTATTTTTTAGAATTGTTTGAAGTATACAACTATTCCTGAAAGTCACGGCCAACCGCGGCTGGAGGTAAACGGCCTAAAGTAAGAGGCACAGCAATGAATCCAGTAGACCACCCTCACGAAGGAGGAGAAGGTCGTACATCCATTGGAAGAAAAAGACCCCTTACTCCTTGGGGGTATCCTAGCACGGGTTTAGCATAGCCTAAATCCAGCCAAAGCTGGCGTCAAGACAGTTATTCGCGCCCCCCCTCCGAGTTTGACCCCGCGGCCGCGATCACGGCCTCCCTCAGAGTTTGATCCCGCGGCCGCCGGCGATACATAGCAATGAAATTCAGACAGGAAACTCTTGGATGGGCAAGGCAGGATGGACAGAAGACCGACAGAACTGCAACCTCAGACCAAGAAATGGTCCACAAAAAGAGGAGTGGGAAAGTTCAAAACGAAAAGAATMAGTACGTGCTTTCTGTCTGTAGTTAGAAAAACCAACACCGCTGCTGTGAAGTGAAAACTGACAGATCCAAAGAGCATATAAAGCACTTAGGTCACGAAAAGAGGTGAGGAAGTGAAAGAAAGCTCATTGGCATTATCCACATCACATTCCTCGAATTTCATAACAGTGACATTATGCTATACCACTAAGTCGTG